TTGAAAACTCCTTTTTTGTGTGTGCTCGTCGTCAGAAGCTGATCTCCGAACACTTTGATTAAGAAGCCGACTGATGAAATACGATGTTATCGCTTTACAAGAGCCGAATAGTAGAATGGAAACCATCAGGAGAACCGACTACAACGAGATGCTCATCATTGGAGCCAAGGTTGATAGCATGAACACCGGTGGAGTTGGACTTCACATGAACTCATTAGTTGCCAGTTTAAAAGAGTCTCACAAAATTGCCAGTGTACGCCTTCCTGTTCTTCGCCTCGACCAAGGGCCAGAATGTAAGATGTGATATCTATCATCAATGGATATGAACAACCTTCGCGGCCACAAATGAAGAACTCGAAGGATTTACGTACATCTGGGCAGTGAAGTATTCGTTTTCACTTTTTTAAACGTAATTTCCTCAAAACTCAAGCTTTCGCAGTAAAACTTCGACAGCAGTTGACACACACAGGGTAGTCATATTATAGCAGCGTATCGGTGCGAGCCTCCTTTCAAGGGGAAATGGAGCTTCATTTTCGAGTATTGTCCGCGGGCACCCAATTTCATTGTTGATAAACGATGAGTTTCCATGTTGAGAGCACGTGTGTTTTTGATGTTTTGTGTCAGTTTCATATGCCTACACAGTACTCAGAACATTCCAAGACATTAGGGAATTCATAGCTTGTGGCAGGACCAGGTGACGCCATCTTTCGGAGGTTCTACGAAGGCTTAACATCCCAGCAGATTTTTGAAGTTCAAGGAGCCCCAGTGGACGACTTGGAAGAAATTCAAGAGCATTGAACCTGCCAAAGTCAAAAAGCGCCCAGAAGTAGCAAAAATGACCTCTTCTCTCGCCAATAGAATCATTGTGCGACTTGTAAGGAGTGGCTCGCATCACGCTGCACCCGAAATTCACCGCGGATTCTCAACGCCAGACGGTCTAAATCCGTCCGAAGACAACGTGCGACGTTGTCTGAGAGATGCTGGGCACTTCTGACGTAGCTCAGTAAGAAACCGCTGATTCCCCCTCAAGAGTGGCAGAGCGCATCTCAATTAGGCTCATGCCCACAAGAAACGGACTATTAAGGAGTGACAAAAAGCCATCTAGAGCAACGAATCAAGTTTTTGCGACTTCCCGTTGGTACCAGATATCATCCGAGGTTCCATGTGCTGACGTGACGAATGCAGGGGGTGCGGTGATACTGCATGGCAGCTTCTGTGGCATAGGGGTTGATCACCTTCATCGGACCGAGGCTGAAATGGATTCCAAAACGCGCCTCAACATATGGATGACTGCTATCTGGCCGCATGCTCGCAGTGTCGCCCGTAGTGTTTCATTTTCCGACCCCAAGCGCAAAATCAAAGCCGCTCTCGCAATGGTTCCGCAACAACAATGTTCCTCCACTGCCATGCCATCGCAGTCCCCATACTTGAATCAGAGCAAAAATCTGTAGGATGATTTTCGGAGTCAAGCTGAAGGCCCAAAAGCTCACAACGAGTTCGAAAAGTCCGTCCCACTGAAGATCGCGTAGGGGAACCTCTACCAAGAAAAAACCCAATTCCGTGCTTCGCCGGTGTCAAGCCGTCGTAGATGAAAACGGTTCTGCGACAAAGTGCTGATGTTGTAGTTGTTACGTCTGTTATTATATAAGTCATTTTGTTATTATTTTTGAATTTTAGATAGATTGAATTTCGAACAAGTAATATGGTATTGGACCGAAAAAAATTAAAAATTTCTAAATTAGTATAGAAGCCACCTAGACAACTGAAGATTTGCTTCCTTATCAGGTAGAGTGATGTGTTCTCACCTACAAAAAATCGGAACAAAAGCTTGAGTTTTGAGGGAGTTACGTTTAAAAAAGTGAAAACGAATACTTCACTGCACGGTACTTATGGAAGTGACAGTTGAGAAAAAGGACGCATATTACACATTATTTCGTCACCAGGACTCAGCGCTTTGTTGCCACAAACTAAAGGTTGATTGACTGGGACTGTATGGTACCACTACAGGCCAATGGAATCGAAGAAAGACTAGATCTTCTGTCCGCATGCGCACGCGGATCATCCGTTTGAAAAGCCGAAAGGACGGTGGAATTGGATGGGAGCGTGCCAAGGTAAACTGCTTTTAACAGACGTGCACCATGTCACTACACGCTAGGCGAGTTTGACACTAGAAATATCCGGGAAAGGATCTTGATTCCGAACCTTTCCAAGGGCTCGTGCATTATACAGCATGCATAGCTTGAACGATCTGAAACTACCGAAGGATTACTATAGTGCTGGTACCAGACTACGTTACCCGGACTTCATTTGCCTTTCGTAAAAACTTACAAAACCTCGCAAGTTTGGGCTTAGCGTTGAGCACTTATGGCGGGTTAGTTCGAATTTGAAAACCCGAATTTTAATTACAAACGCTACAGTTCAAAACTGCTTGGCGCAGTTTAGCTGTCGAATGCTCGATATTGAGGACGACATTCGCGATGGATGCGAGTTTCCCTCGAGCCAGCTCCGATTTCAAGCCTAACGCTCTTATCAGTCCTTCAGATTTGTATCAATTATGCCACGTTACCAGAATATGGCTCAGATCCGCATATCTATAAGGAAACTCTTGACGGCTGTTGGTGCGCGCACTATGAATTTCCATTCAGACATACACATACACACGGACAGACACAGTTAGCCGACCATTTATGGGAGGAATATCTTCTTCTCATATTTACCAACGAATGACATTTTATTACCGATTAATCTGAATAATATGACCCTCGTTCTTCACGCGAAAGATTCAGAACATCATGCATTAGATATATTTACATTTCAAATGTGTTTTTCATGAGACGTTCATAAAAACTATAAAAATAGTAAAGACTGGCTCCTCTGTGAAATATTGCAAGGATAGTTCGGCTCCACTTTCAACTACTTTGCTAGGTTCTTCCTTTTTCTTTGGACTTGCTTTGTTCGGTGCCTGTAACATTTTCTGAGCTAAAATATGTAAAAGTCTAAAAAAGTCACCGCTCATGAACAACAGGCTTTTCATACCTACATTAATTCAAATAAGATAAAATTGGGGTAGCACGCGGTCCCGTCATGGGGCCCTTCACCAAGCGTGTGTGCGCTCGGCACGGAGCACCAACTCTCGTCGCTCTGTCACCCGTCATTACGGTTTTAGTCGACTAGTCACTGATTAGTCACTGATTGAAACACCTTTTTAAGCAAGAGAGGGCGCTAATGGTGAGTACTTCGCAGTTTAGTTAACAGTGTTGTACTGAGATGATGCTACAACGCATTATGCAGCCTACGTAGCCCAACATCTGATATTTATGCAGATGTAGCGTCCAATAAGACGCATATGAAAGGCAACGAGAGACACGGTGGTCTCTACCATAATCGCTAACTTGATGTTCCTGTGTGTTGGTATTTGTGCCAGTGTATGAGTTTGTATGTCCGGCCGTAAGCCAAATGATGTAGTGAGGCAGCCAAAACAGGGAAACTCGCAAGTTTACCGACTCAATATTTTGTTCTGGTATAAATTTATTAGCACCCTCCACCGTCATATACGCACACACTGAGCACGATCTCGTCCACTTCACATGGTAGCCGGAGGACAGACGAAGGGAGGGGGTTGGGGGAGCGAGGGGGAGAAAAGGGCAGAAGAGCGAAACGAACCGCCAACCAAGCTGAGGTAGGTTTTTTGTGAATTCTTTTGTAAATTTTTGTATCGTGATGTTCTGCTTGTGACCCTTCACTAAAACTGGGATCTTCTTGTGCCTGCGCATCTCCCACGCTAAGTGTTCACCTAACCAGTGAAAGTGAAGCATAGCGGAAGCAATAAGCCTCGGCCTGCTACCGAGGGACAAGACAGTTAATGCATATTCCATGTCTCATGACTTGGCGGTCTCTGATTAGTGCAATACATCTAAGAATCAGCGTTTCAACAAAAAAAAAACATTGCAAGAAATGTGGTAAAAAAATCAACAGACCGTTGAATGTATGGCCTTCCATTCCTGTTCCCTTCTCTTAGCTGTTTCCCAAACCGGTCCGTAGTGTTCTTTATAAAACTAAATGAGAAGAGCTCCGTGATAACGATATCATAAGATTTTAAATAAACCATTCATTAGTCTGCTTATGGTAAATCTTATCTACTTTTTAGTATCCTGTCTGCTAAACTGGAATCATCCACTTGGATGTGTGGCGCTTCTCGCTTTAGAAAAGATCGTAAATGGGAGAACCTTGCCTCCGTCCCAACCAGAACCTAATACTTTAGCTCCATCGCTTCACGAGTATAGCAAAAGGAACGAAAAAAAGTGTTGTATCGGAGATGAATACAAGCGCCAGGAGAGACTTCAAGAAATTTGAATTCCCGCCGCACAACTGTCACAAGAGTTGGCGTGGTGGAGCCAGCACATGCAGATGTGTTGGAAGCACAAAGGTGTACCGGTTTCATGTCGAGAAACCCATACGTGGCTCCGTACATGCCATGCAGTTCCTCACAGCAGCTGTACCAGTCCCGCCCACCGTGACAGATGCCGTCCAGGTGATGGAGTGGAACAGCTTCTCCGTGAAATATTCCTCTAACTGCGTTTATCATGTACTCCACAAGCATTATCCCTAGGCTCTTAACGGATGCATACCGTGGTGTTGTTGCACCTCGACATTTCTCGCAGCTTTTAAGCTTCACTGTAAAGGGGTCATCCCTGCTGCATTTGGGAACAGCTTATCAAATGCTGTAGTACAAATGGTCACACTCTCTCCCTCCTTTTATTGATAGGTATTGGTTTTGACATGATAGTAAATTATTTTTGAACCTTGACTAACTTTTTGAATCTGTAACTCTCTATCATCGCAGAATAACGCCTGCCATAAGTTAGTGGGAGCATCAGGATTCTTTTCCGGACCTGAACAAGAAACAAGTAGAGAGTGTTGGAAAACTGACGTACGGAAAAATCGCGTTCGACAAAATTAGCGCGCACCAGATATTGGCGTCGTGCCTTCTGTATTAGGCGCACGATTGTACTCGAAAAGGTTTGAAGTTTCCAAAAGGTTAGCTTCATCGAAGAAAATCATCTGAAAAGATACTGCTTTTCGTAGAGGATGGAGTAGCCTTCCTCCCTAGAATAGTGTATGCTTGTTTTCTGTTGAAATGTAAACAGAGGAAAAAATCGGAATCGATAATGACGAAGATATTGACTTTCAGTAAAACCATGTGCCTGTGGTGTTTTCCACTACAATTCCATTACAGTCTGCAGCTTCTGCAACGCCAAATGGCGGTGGATCACCGAACTAGCTGAAAACTTACTCCCTGGCGCAGTTCAGCCGGTAGATTCAAATATCACATTTGTTTTGCATAAGAGCATCCTATTAGTAGTATTGTGACCCTAAAGAAGGCCGTTGGACTAGCACTGTTGGTTCTGCGACTCGGTGGAAGATGTTCAACACGGATAAATCTCTGCAATATGCTCGAAGAAGTTGAAGATGATCCCTGCAGGCTCTCCAAACTCGCGACGCCACAGGATTCCTTATCGCTGTACTGCTTCGGATTTGAGCAATACTTCCTTTTGGGTATCATCTTGAATTTCGCCACAACGATCCGATGTTCTGGGTGTGGGCGCTAGTATGAGTATCGATAAGTCAAAAATGTGATCCACGGTGGAGTGTCAATATCCGACAGGCAATCTCGACAAATGCTATGATGATATGCTCTCCATGATCGGACATTATTGTACTTCCTGATCGGATGAATTCAAGAATAATCTTAATGAGGGTAGCAACATCACGTCGTCTCACCAGAACCATGAATGCGCGGCCACTACCTCTCTCGATGCCTCCGAACAGCCACTCATTTCTTCGCACAATCCTGCCACAAGTGTACTTTCTTCGCGTGACGTTGGCTTTATAGATTTCTAATACTGCTCTGAGTCCGCCGACTGGAGGATGCCATCCATAAAACTGAGAACAGGTACTCCTCAAAGCGACGCTTCTAGGAAGTGAGCATCTTCGCACTCACGCCAGGCTCGAATGAATTTGTTCGGGAAGATCCAAATTAACGCGAACAAAAATAGGCAAAGATGGTTGGCTCATGGAGCTTGGTCGGCAAAAAGCTCCTTGTGCCTGACAGATAAGGACGGCATTTTGCCTTATTCCTTCTACAAGCGCGTCTATGGCAGATCCACACACAGATCCGCAGATCTTGAGGTCCAAAGGTAATGGACTCAGAGCATTTGGGCGCATTTGAACACTTGTGGTCTAGGCTCCGTAACCAGGTTTGGAAGTTGTCCGCGCCCAGTTTCAGATTTTCAAACAAGTGCAACCACTTGGAATCTTTTAGCTCCATCATGCGATTATGACGATGAGTAGCGTTGAGAGTCAGGCTGGGCGCAAATGAAGAGTTTGGAAGCTTGGCAACTCATCGATTTGATTTTGGCGCAAAACGCGCCTCTGATTCTGGCGCGAAAGCGCTCTGTTCCGATTGAATTCTGTTCAAAAGGCTCCCTTCTGGTGATATCACATGAGAACGTCGAAAAAGCGTGACGCCGGCGTGTGTGGCGCGGATGTCAGGCGTTTTCGTGACAAACTGATGCAAAATTGTGTTCTACGGGGCAAATTATCTCCCGAGACAAGTTTCTGGCCGGTTTTATTTCTTAGGAGAGAAATTTTGATAAAAATCCAGTCCAATCTTTACAATGTGGAGCAGCAAAGGGCAAATTGTGTTCTACCTACCCTTATTCAGCAGCCGGCCATGTTTGTTTTTCACTTGGAAGGTACATTTTGCCAAACGGCGGATGGCACAAATACGAGCAGGGCGGGGGAGCAGAAACTCATTGGGTTGTGCTGAAGTCTGGAGAATCTAAATATCCTTCAACTGAAATCAGTCGTTGCTCAGAGGTAAGGGATAATGAAGCACCCTGGAAGGTTCTGGGTCACAAAATAAGAGAAGTTCTTTGCTAATCATCAGTTGTGAACATGCGGGAAACCATGTTTTCAAGCAGTCATCCGAGTGGCAATCGCATGGTCCAGGCCCACTGAATATCGCTGATCAGTATTTTTCAAGGTAACGAGCCATCACAGCGGTCCCAACGAGAACTACATTGCTGTGACTGCTACGTTCAGGGGTCGCAAGTGCTGTAGTAGGAGCTGCATTCCGATGGTCAGACAGTCGAAGGTAATGTCAAAGTGATGCGTAAATTGGCCTCCACCAGATAAGATGTCAACGATTGTTTTCTTTCAATACAGGGTGTGACTTCGCACGGGCTACACTCCAGATTCTCAAGTCGGAACGAAGAAATTATTGATCAATAGAATTACTGTCTTTTCCACGTTACATCGACAACTGGAAAGAGGACCACTGACGGTGCTGTGACATCTTGAATACTTTCTTAATGTTGGTCTGATTCTGTAATATAGTTTTTGTACCTCAAATATTCCAAGTCCCACTTCTGCATACATTTATTGACATAGTTGCTCATAAATTTGTTGCTAATAAATTATAAATAAATGTTTCAGTAATCAGCATGAGTCCACGCTCAGATATTTCGCAAAACTCACTTCTTTTCGGGTAAGTTTACCGCCATGTAACCAGTACCAGTGATGAATGAGTGCTCCAACAGGAATCGCCAAAACTCCACCCACAAATGTCGAAAGACGTGACAAGAAATTAACGACCCAGACTGAAAAGTGGTAGTTTCTACAAAATAAGCTGAATGCCTCGTCAACTTTTCCAAAACAACTACCTGCAACACCCATCGTTCCGAGTACCATGATGCTAGCCAGAAAGTTCGACGAAGATCCGAATGTGGGTACGGACGACGTGGCTAAAAAACTTGCCTACAGCGATCTCTCTGAAAAGCTCTTTCACTTCCTTCTTTTTATGCCTTCTCAAAGGCAGGAACTGATAGAAAAAAAGAAAATTGTTTACATTCTTTTTGGATATGCTTCTGGAGCCACAAGCCAAGATGGTACAACAACTTTATTCGGCTAACGTTTCGGCTTGGTCGCCTTCGTCAGAGCCTGGAAAGTCAAAGATCAGTGCGACCTACCGCAGACATCATTTCAAACTTCGAAATAGTCCCCATAGACCCGTAGCCTCCAGGGGGTGCCATAAATCACAAACACCAGTCAACTCACCTTAGAACGCACGGTAGGATTTTGCTGAGACCACCGCTAGACTGACTCGCTGTGGGTGGCTCCAGATGACCTGGCCATCGGCATGGAGCCGATGGCGCTCGAAGCCCACAAAGGTCAGCGAAAGGTGCGAGTTCACTGGTTATGGCTAGGCATTCATCTTTCCTGTTAATTTTTGGATTTTTGGCGCTGATCCAAAAGGCTTCCAAAGTTTTGCGCGCCGAGGTGTGGGGCTCTCGCGTCAAGATCCTTACAGAGACCTCAAACTCCGCGCCTCCGTGGCATGCAATTGCCACGGAGGCACGGAGTTGTGGCAAGAAGTGGAAAAATCCAAAAATTAACAGGAAAGATGAATGCCTAGCCATAACAGTGAACTCGCACCTTTCGCTGACCTTTGTGGGCTTCGAGCGCCATCGGCTCCATGCCGATGGGCCAGGTCATCTGGAAGCCACCCACAGCGAGTCAGTCTAGCGGTGGTCTCAGCAAAATCCTACCGTGCGTTCTAAGGTGAGTTGACTGGTGTTTGTGTTTATGGCCCCCCTGGAGGCTACGGGTCTATGGGGACTATTTCGAAGTTTGAAATGATGTCTGCGGTAGGTCGCACTGATCTTTGACTTTCCAGGCTCTGACGAAGGCGACCAAGCCGAAACGTTAGCCGAATAAAGTTGTATCTTGGCTTGTGGCTCAGAAGCATATCCAAAAAGACCACACACGATGCCAAGATTTATCGAACGTCGAGCTCATGTTTACATCCTTTTCTTCAAGGCAGCGATTACGATAAGTTCTTAAGGGGATTACAGGGAATATGGGACTCCAAGGGCCAAAAAGCAGAGAAAAGGGTCAAGAAAATGCGAAAAGGGGGTCCCTATTTGGCCGCAGATATTGCCCAAGGACGGGCGGCGAGTAGAACGGCGGATGCATGAGCTAGTTTGTAGCAACGCGTTCGGTACACCATGCCAATCCATGCTCCAGTCTGATGTGCCGCTGCTGGCAACACAGCTCGTCCAAATCACCAACTAAACTAGTGGGCGGATCGCTTTTGGGGCGGAGTGCTTTCGAAGTCCTGCTCAGCAACCAGCGCACCTTTCGTCGTGAAAGCGCCACACCTCGCTTCCTTGGCAGCCAAGTAACTGCTTCGTGTGCGCATATGCTTCCCGATGCGCTCCCTCTTTATCATAATCGATTCCTCAGAGTCGTAGTCTCCTTCGTAAAAAGGAGATGTTTCAAACGCTTCCGCTCTTGCGACTAGCTAGCCCGAGTTTTGTATGTATGCATGAAATACTAGCACTTTCTTTTACACAGACTCAATCAATGCCAATTTCCAATGTTATAAAGAAGCAAGGTTGTCACCAATCACTCTAGTAATCATGGTCATGTATTAGGTTGACCAGGAAGTAA